AAAAAAAAAACAGCGAGAGACAAAAATTGTTAGTTTTCTTCTCATAAGGTTTTGAGAATTTTTTCAAAATTTTTTCAGAATTTTTTACCGTATTTTCTCATTGGTAAAAATAAGAAAATGCAGTACTAAAAAATTGATAAAAAATTCTGAACAAATAATTGTCAATAAGCAAGAGTTAAAACAATTATGATAAATTTTTACCTCCAAAGTAGAAGCACAATTTCTAGTTCCATTTGCTTAGCAATGAGTTGCAATTCAAGTGGCGCCGGCGGTGCGACGTTATCATCACGAGAAAGATTGGCCAGACGAAGAACTAATACTACTCGATGTGTGTCGTTACCCCAACTTGCGTCCTTATCTCGTTGACTCCACAGCCACGTGGCCGCTCGTTCAAGAATAATTTCCGCTTCAGAGCTGGTCGACGTCATTTCAGCGTTGTTTACTAACAATAACAATTTTTCGTTCCTTATATTCAAAGATATCAACTATAGGATATTTTATTTAATGTTCTATATATACAGTTTTATATATATATATATATGTATACATATATCATATTTTAATTTGCCTCCAAAAATTTTATTTTTTAAATTAATTTAATTTGATTTTAAAAAATATGGTAAATATTCAGGTAGCAACCGATGATCTTGGTCTTGACGTGTGTTGTCATGATTGAGTTTCTTCCAGTAAATTTTTAGCTTATTGACAGTCGCACGTTATTGATCAAAAAGTTGGTCACAAAAAAGTTCAAAAAATAATATTTTATTTCTACAAAAAATATTAAGAACTGCCCCACACTCTTTCCTGGTCATTCCTTTATCAGGGACCCAGACCGAAAGGCTCTCTCTCTTTCTCTCTCTCTCTCTCTCTCTCTCTCTCTCTCCCTCCCTCCCCCCCTCCCTCCCTCTCTCTCTCCCCCCTCCCTCTCTCTCGATTCCGATTTAATAAAATATCAAATAAATGTTTCTGTTTCTGTTTTTTTTTTTACTAGTAAAGAAAACCAAAATTGTAAAAATTACGGTTTTTTAACTTATTTATTCTTCAAATTTATTCTATTAAGAAGAGAGAGGGGGGAGAAAGAATTTGAATTTTCAAATGTACGGTCCAGTAAAATTCTTATTGTTCAAATTTTTAATCTTTTGTCATCAGTATTATTTAAATTGAAAAAATATTTATAATATTCTGCAAAGCAAAATATTTTTTAATTCTGAATAAAGTATATAAAAAAAATTTTTTATTTATTCATCAACTGAGCATAATTTAATGACCAATATTTATATTATATATAAGGATATTTATTAAGTAATGATAAAACTCTCGCATAGGGATAGAGCGAACTACTGAGTCGAAAAGTCCTCTACTATTTTACAATTTTCACCAATAGTGAAAATTGTTCTCTATGAGAAGAAAATAAATAATTTTTGTCTTTTGCTATTTTTCTGTAAATTTGATAATAATACTCAAATAAAAAATTATTGAAAACAAATATTTGATAATTTTTAGCTGATACTTTGTTAATTATTATTAACGAAAATTATAAAATAGTAGAGAACTTTATTCGGCTCAGTTTAGTCTGTTCTACCCCTATGTGAAAGATTTCTCGTAATACTTTTCAAACACCCTATATAATCGGTTCTTATATTTAAAATTCTTTTAAGTCTTAAGTCAGAACAAGCTTATCACAGAGTCACATCTTATGACATTAAAATAATCTTAAAATATATTAAAATAGTCTATAAGAACGGACTGTTAATATAATTTACTGGTTATCTTGTTAAATTAATTTCTTTGTTAGTCTTATATATGTAAACAGAAGTACATACCTTCTGCCCAAGTGAAAACGCATAACCATCCTAGAAGGTAGATCACAGCAACTGTATTTGCTTTGTCCCACATGGCATTCGGACGAGTTTCAAATTCCGCTTATGAAAGTAAAATTACTGAAAATTAAATCATAATCATAATATAGAGAATATATTTTAAAAGATATGACATTTTGTTAACTTTACGGCCGGTATTCATAGTCGATTCTTATATTTAAGGTCATCTTAAGTATACAATCTTAAAATGAATCAATCAGAAAATCGCATTAGCATCTTAAGACATTAAGATAGTCTTAAAATAAAAATCGACTATGAATACCTGTATGTATGTTTCCCAATTTATTAAACATAATTATTTATGATTTTGTGTGCGTGCGTGCATGTCTATATAGACATATAATATTTTTGTTTCGGAATCCTTGTACTTATTTTATTTCAAGTAGGATACAATCAAATATATATATAATTCTAATATGATATAAATTTGTCAAAAGCATTATCAAATAAACAAAAATTTAAAAAAATTTTTTTCACAGTTCAAAACAATAGAAAATTTGTTACGAATTTCAATGCTCCATCTTGAGAACCAAAGTTGAAAATCTTATATTACCGACAGAGGGTTAAAATCTTTTTTTATTTATATATTGAACCTGGATTACATTATATTAGAACATTTTACACTTTACACTTATTATGTCACGAAAAAAGTAAAAATAAAAAATTGTTTGTTACTTGGTCCAAAAATCATTCTTGTTTAATATGTCATCGATTATATTTCCTAATTTTTATTTATGCGATAATTCGCCTAATCTAATAGCTTTAAAGAAAAAGTTCAACAACTGATTTAAACATAAAAAGCTCGATTAAATCAAATGATACTTTTCTCAAATTTTTTTATCCTTATGCCAATTCGAGCTGATAATTGTGACCGCATAGGCGAAGAAAAATTTTACTTACCTTCTTAACGAAAAAGTCACACTGCTTGTTTGTAATTGATGTTGTTGGATTTCGCTTTCTGTTTCTTAACTTCTACTTGTACTACTGTTGACTCTTTTATCAAAATCACTGTCGAAATTCGATGGCGGCGATGGCAACGATAGCCATAACGATGACTACGATGGCGAGAAAGTGCGACGATAGTGGCCGCTACGATACGCCTGTCTCGTGAATGCGCAATGCAGACTAGAAACGCCGCGCTACGACGCGTAAAGGAAGTTGGAAAACCACCCTCCTTTCACCCTTTCATAAATGCTTCGCATGTTTATCAAGAACGCTTGATTGCCTTCTAATATAATCCAAGTTCTGAGCAAATGGAATTATTTTCATAATTTTATTACACACAAGGATATAATAGATATTCTCTTCTCTTATTTTAGGCATGTTTCTAACTTCAACAGAACAAGAATAGTATTCAAAAATATTTTTAATATTTGGAAATAATGAAAAAAATTTTTAATAAGTAAATATTGCATCTAGACTTCAGTATTTATATTTCTTTACAATTGCTCTATTTTTGTCAATATATCTTAACAACTATAGTTACAGATATTTTTTTTATCTTTTTCCATTATCTGCAAAGGTTTAAAATATTTTTTTAACTTATAGTATTTTCTTACGACTAATACTCGTGTATGATTATATATTATTTATCAATAATTAATCATAATATTTAAAATAATATTTTAT